TTCTGGAACTAATGGTGGCCATTCTGATGACACATGGGAAGAAAACTAAGAACATCAATGCATTAATTTATGCCAATAAGTCTTTATCCAAATAAATCTTCCCCAAACCCATGGTGGAAAAAAAAGAAAAAAGATTAGTAAAGGAAGTATCTCACACTTCAACATGCTATATAAGGAAAGACGGCTGAAAATAAATCTTGCAGGGAATTTCATCCCTTTGAACTTTCAAATAAACTCTTAAGTAAGATTATGCAAACTTACTAAAGACCGGTCCTGATTAGAGGGAAAAAATGCACCCCTTCTCCAAGTCAGTTCTAGAGGCTTTCTCCAGAGTTGTTAAGGTTTGTGTTGGGTAAAGAAAGACCTCCTAACAAACCAGCATTCTTTTCCACATGATCAGAGCTAATTGGCCCCCCTGCAGGCTAAGTGACCAATCACATCAACTTCAGCTGAAACCAGCCCCCACAACATTATAAACACAGGAATGTAAGCTGTAAAATCAGTCCAAGAAGAGAACCTACAAACTAGACTTGTAGATTAAAATTATCTGATCAAAAAGGCAGACTCTATAAATTTCCTTAAGATCTACCTTGGCATAAAGGCTGACCCAGCAAAAGAACTGGTGAGTACATGCAATAATATCCACTCTTATTTCTTTCCTTATGGGAAACAGGGAAAGAAACTGACTGGCGAATAGGAACAGAGCTAGATTACTTCCAATAGATTTTTAAAACAAGGACATTATCTATAGGGTAGTATAGTAAGATTTCTATATTCTTTTTCCTTAAATTTTAAAAATGGAATAACAGCCATATTGAATGCATAGATATTTTCTTCTTAACTGTTTTAAGTGTACACTATTTTCTATTATAATATACCAGTAGAGGATAAAGGCCTTAGAAAAAAAAAATTCAGTGGCTTGAGAAAAAGTCTTTTTCTTTTGGAAGGAATTCCAAAAACTCAAAATGAGCATAAAAAAAGAAATGCCAAAAGAATAAGCCACTTTGTTTTTATTTCTTTAATCTAAGAAGAAAGTGATGAGTGTCCTAATTGTAAGTTTTTAAGCATGGAATTATTGCTGAAATTAGTAGATACTTCTGCAATTAAGAAAGTAAAATAGAATCTCTGAGCTTATATAATAGGGTTAGAACTCATAGTGTTTGCCCTAATTATGGAGGGCAGGAGAAATCATTATAAGACTTTCAATATCAAGTATTTACACTAGACGCGAACAAATACATAGTAATACCATGTTCATTTAATGTTCGTTAGTTACAGCCTTTATCTTGGCTCCTTAGTATGAACTATACTATTTGATATCATGGCAACAGAAAAGACATAATTGTAAGTGCTACAACCCAATGAGTAGAATGAATTTTGATGATCAATTAAGCTGCCTATCATTTTTTAATAGGTACTATTTTTCCTCCAAATAATTTATAAATGGGGAAATACTTTACAGCCCACACACGGCAATAGAAGCAAACCTTCCCAACCTTCCACTCCACTTTCTATTGGGATCAGTTGATGAGACTTAAATATCAGGTAACAATAATATAATTTTTTAAACTATACAAGCAGACATCAAGCTATACAGAAATAAAAGAAATCATATAGGAAACTTGTATCCGTTGTAGGAAGTGGAAATATGTTTGTTTACATAAGTCTGTAGAGCTTTAAGAAATCTTATTACCATAATTCCCTCTTTTTTCACTTTCTTTGTTTTAATCTAAGGATGCCAGGCAAAGGGGATTGAGTGGTTTGCCCAAAATAACACAGCTATGTAACCAACAGTGCCAGAGCCTGAAGGCCATATCCCCTTATCCTGCGTTCTCTACACTAAACCACACTGACTGTAGGAGTCCACAGAATAGTTATTCAGGGTAATTGGTTAAGTGGGAATTAGAAATCAATCTTCCTTCTCTATACTACTCCACTTGCCAGCACAATCCAAATCAAATCCAGCAGTCTTAGGTTTAAAAAAAAAAAAATGCTGCTTAACTATTCTGATTATTAGCCTTTTGACTTCCCTGTTCACAGGTTTTTCCATGTATTTAGTTGCAAGAGAAAAATAAAATAAAATTGTAAAGAGCCTAGAGTAAGAGTGCTACAAAAGTTGTAGGTAAGAAGTAACAACAGTCCTGAAAAGGCCCAAATGAGAATGATGAATTTTGTTAGTTATAGTCTACACAGAAACGCTCTCTCTAAGCAAGGAATTTTAGAACTTTCATAAAGTAGGTTGAAAATAAAAAAGAATCATGGAGCTTTATCTTCCTCAAGCTTCTGTGAAACACTAAGCATTTCGCAGCATTCAGTAGGAGAGTAACTCCACATGTGGAACAAGCACTAGTGTCCAGGAGCATGAGGGGCATTTTCACACAGACAGGAAGCAACAACAGTGGCGAATGACCAAGTTGTTCACCCACCATTCTGAAGGCAACCAAATATCCTTTCATTGTTATATCCTTCTTCCAAGTGTCAAAATCTTTTATTATGTCATAATTTTATTTATGACAGCATCATACTTCTAAAATTGTCTTCTCATCTGGCAAAATATAAACTTGGCAATGTTATGTCATAACTCTCCTCTCTACATTGCTATAATTTTACTGATGTGCAAAACACAACTAGACTATCTAATAATTCAGACTGTAATAATCTTCAAGTCTTGAAAGAAGTCTTTCCTCACTGAAAATCTATTTTTAACCTACAAATAACAGGTCTGAACCTAACCAACATTACTGAAGAACAAATATTCTGGAGTGGCTCATGAACAAAACTAATCAAATGAAACAGTATTATTTACAAAAGCTAAGCAGGGTCAAATGTCTGTTTTGGAGGCAATATGGCACTAACTCTGAACTCAGAATATATGGGATTCATCTCCACCATTTACTACCTCATTTTCCTTCTTTTTTTTTTTTTTTTTTAGAGACAGGGTCTCGCTATGTTGGCCAGATTGGTCTTGAATTCCCAACGTCAAGCAATCTTCCCACCTTAGCCTCCCAAAGTGCTAGCATTACAGGCATGAGCCACCATGCCTGGTTCCTCACTTTCATTATCTGTAAAATGGGACTACCAGTGGTACTTATTCTACTACTGTGAAACCCAAGACACATTTTTTTTTTCTTTAAAGAGAGACAAAGTCTCACTACGTTGCCTAGGCTGGTCTCAAACTCCTGGACTCAAGCAATCCTCCTGTCTTGGTCTCCCAAAGTGCTGCGAGCCAGACACATTTTTAATAACAATAAAGCAACTAATACTTTACTGAGAGCTTACTCTGTGCCAGACACTGGTCACTGGCTTCACATCAGTTTGTACATATGAAGTATTTGGTATGACTCCTGGCACATGCTAAACAATATATATATTAGCTAATATTATTAATCATTACTATCATAAGAATCATGAATAAAGTTAACAATGGTTTAATATAGATACTTGAGACAGTTATAGGGGCAAGAAAGGCATCTACTAAAGGTGCTAGAAATTTGGCTGTCAAAGACTATCTTGAGAATGCAATACCGATCATTTGTGGAAAGACTTATTTCACTAAACGCTTCCTGCAGTTAAAAAAAAAATAACTGGCTTTGAAGTTAGCTAAACTTGAATCATCCAAATAATCCAAAGCTCCAATTTGCCTTGTGTAAATTTCTTTTATCTGTCTGAGCACCAGTGACTTCATCTGAAAATGGGAACAATAGCTATCTAGTTGAGATACCAAAGAATTAAGAGATAATACAGTATGAAAGCAGTTATCACAGTGCCTATGAAGATTTTGTTGTTGTTGTTTCCAAAGCATAGAGATCAGGTTAGATTATTTAAAAATAATCCAACAAAATAAGGGTCATTAAGTAGCTATGCCAAGAAAAAATAATACACTAAAAGATTATGACAACTTGTTAGGGTCATAAGCTATAAAACATTAAAATAATGCACTAAGACTTTTTAAAGTCTATCATATGAAACTGAAATCGCCATCTAATCTAAATAAATAAATCATCCCAGTGTTTCATCAGCTCAAATCTGAAGAAAATACAAGAAAATGTCTCTAGTTAATCACCAATAAATGTTAAGTTACCTCAGAGCAAAAGAAGAAAGTTGTATATACCCAGCTGGCCAATATCCAATTCCAACAACACAGAAAGGCAGCCTCTAAAGCCCCAAAGGCCCTAGATACAGGAACTAGGAAACCCAAGCAACAACCTAGTTCCACACATTTGTAGTGCCCTTCCTAAGCCCCATTAAAAGGCAGGAAGTGGGTATGCAGCACTCTCAAGGGTATCTACCTCTGAAGGAAGAAGCAAAGGAGAGTCAAATATAAACTCATAGTCCTGGATTGTAGCAAAGAAGAGAGGCTCACTCAAGGGAAGCAAAGCTGCATTTCCTGTTCTGTTCCTGATAACTGCTACACTGAAGTCTTAAGACACCTTTCTTATACGCAAGGATGATTACAAGGAAGGCATACGTTAGATTTCTACTCACCACCTTGAGAAAAGGATAACCACTGCTGAAAACTGTTTGCAGTAGAAAATTAATTATACTAATTTTATCTTTTTAAAATTCTTATTTAACCCCTTAATGATTATTTTAGTTCATTAAACTCTTAAAACTTTTTCTTCTGGTTTACTTACCTTTAAAGCTAATGCTATCTAGAAATGTCTACCTGGAATTTCTTATTTTGCCAAGAAAACAATTCTCTTTCTACCCCACAATCTAATCAGAGCCTAGAATATGCAAAAAGACAGCAATCTATCACCCAGGACAGAAAGAATCCACGAACATGGTTGCAAAATGACAAAAACAAATAAAGCCTAATCATAAAACTATAAACAAGGCCAGGTGTGGTAGCTCAACCTTGTAATCCCAGCGCTTTGGAAGGCTGAAGTGGGAGGAAGGCTTGAGAACAGGAGTTCAAGATCAGCCTAGGCAATATATTGAGACCCAGTACCAACAAAAATTAAAATTTTAAAAATTAGCCGAGGTTACAGTGAGCTATGATTGTGCCACTGCACTCCAGCCTAGGAGACAGAGCAAGACTCTGCCTCTAAAAATACAAATCAATAAATCAAACTCTGAATAGGCTAATTATAAGGCATACATTAGAACCACAGACCTCTAAACGCTTACCACAAATGCAAGCCTTGTCCTAGCACTAAATTTGGCTTCAAAAGATTTGCAGATAGTTTAAAAATAAGCTTCCAAATGACTTCCAATTATTTACACAGAAGAACACTTACATATTTAAACATACCCCTTTTAATTATGAATAATGCATAACTATAAATTAACTATGAAATGCCAGTCTTTACACATAATATTTGGTCAAATCAATAAATGCCTGACACCTGGACTTGTGCAAGGAGGACACAGGGGTATATAATCTCTACCTACAGGAATTTTAAAATATACTTAGAAAATGTTTAAATGTTAAACAATGTCTTAACAGTCATTCAAAGAAACAATGGAAGAGATATTTTAAGGTAACACACAATTCGCTCCCAAATGAATGACTTAGTAAATGCCCCCTTACATAAAGAGAAAAGCGAGAGAGTTGGCAAAGTTGTGGTTAGAGAAGCACTCCCAAGAAAGCAGAAAGTGCATGAGGTCTCCAAATTCACAAACATTAACTGTAAAACAGTTAAGAGCTTACTAATTTACTCTTGATTTCAGAGAAATACAGCCTGAAATGGACAGCAGTAATTGCAAAGTTATTGCTCCCCTCCTAAGTCAAAGATACCAGAGGATGGTCACCAAGGATGGCCACAGCACACTTCAAATGGACGGCGCTCAAAGAGGTCTTGCATATCTTCGAGATGCTTGGGGAATCCTAATGGACATGCGCTGGCGTTGGATGATGTTGGTCTTTTCTGCTTCTTTTGTTGTCCACTGGCTTGTCTTTGCAGTGCTCTGGTATGTTCTAGCTGAGATGAATGGTGATCTGGAACTAGATCATGATGCCCCACCTGAAAACCACACTATCTGTGTCAAGTATATCACCAGTTTCACAGCTGCATTCTCCTTCTCCCTGGAGACACAACTCACAATTGGTTATGGTACCATGTTCCCCAGTGGTGACTGTCCAAGTGCAATCGCCTTACTTGCCATACAAATGCTCCTAGGCCTCATGCTAGAGGCTTTTATCACAGGTAATTTTGTCTTTGTTCTTAAAAAAAAAAAAAAAAAAATACAGGTGTTTGGAAAGGGTATAGTCAATTATAAGTAATACTGTTACAGAATAATTTATCTATATTAATAGCAGGTAACGTCTAAGATAGAAAAGAAACTGTTTAGAGCCAAAAAAAAATAGGAGAAATGCATTAGGAACCTGTCTCAACGCCGAAATTTTACTTACTGGAACTACTTAAGAAAAAAGAGATCAGTATGACACTAAACTGCAGACATATCCTGCATAAAAAAAAAATTAACAAAAGGTTTAAAAGGTTTTCACTGAAGCTAATCATTTTGTCAAACAAATGAATAAATACATTCAATACATATTTTGACAGTCATTTTACCTAACATAGGAATTTGGTTTTTTTTCCTTCACTGGGCTAGAATTCCCTCCTATGAGTTCATCTTTTCAACATTTACTTCATGCCAGTGAGCCCAGAACACCACAGTCAGCATTATATGTTAGAGAACAAGTTACGTACACACATTCTTAGCAAAATGCACTGGAAATATGTCCACAAAGATTATGAAATTTTGCTCATGAACACAGAAAACTCTTTCCTTTAAAGAAGGACTAGTGCCCCTTTTATGTGACATACATACTTTTAAAAGAAAACTTGGCTTTAATATACTATTCAATAATAATCTGAGAAGGTAAGCATTGGGCCGTATGCAGAATGATCTGGAATGAAATCCCAATGTGCTACCAACCAGCTCTATAACCCGCAAATCACAAACTTCTACAACAAGAGTTCCTACACGGGGTCAGTTCTTTGGATACAATTAAGGGGGTTTATAAACTTAGATGGGAAAAACTTATATCTCTTGGCACAAACCACTAATTGAAACTTGGCATTTCCTACAGGCAACAAAAAACAGTATCATCAGCAGTATTACTAGCTTTGATTCAAATAGAAATCATAAATATTTTGTCATATCAAACCAGAATACTTCAAAATCACAGTAATAAACCCACCACTAGACTGTTATTTAATGTATCAGTAAGGTACATAAGGTACTATAGTATCATTTCTTAAATGTTCAACTGAATTTCAATAATTTGGTTTCTTTTATATTGTAAGCACTTAAAACGTAATTCTGATAAGTACTTACTTCTTAGACCTTACCAACAGCCTGTCAACAAAATCTGTGGCACAAAACTGATTAAGAAACTCTTATCTATAGCTTAGGGCACAAGGAAGATACACCTGAAAGGTGCACTGAAATTACCTGATAGTCAGTCCTCCCTTGCCCCAGAAAAGGTACGTTTCAAAGTTTAAAAATTCTTCAAAGTATCCCTCTTTTTTTTTTTTTTTTGAGATGGAGTCTTGCTCTGTTGCCCAGGCTGGAGTGCAGCTGTACAGTACAAACTTGGCTCTCTGCAATCTCCTGCCTCAGCCTCCTGAGTAGCTGGATTACAGGCATGCGCCACCAGACCCAGCTAATTTTTGTATTATTAGTAGAGAGAGGGTTTCATCATGTTGGCCAGGCTGGTCTCAAACTCCTGACCTCAAGTGACCCGCCCGCCTCAGCCTCCCAAAGTGCTGGGATTACAGGCGTTAGCCACCGTGCCCAGCCAAAATATCATTCATTCTACTGGTCCCCTCTCCATCCCAAATCATTCTACTCTGAACCTAGTCTCTACTTCAACTTAATCTGGCTGTAGCCAAGTTGCATTTATTTTCTATTACTTTTTCTTAAGCACAGGCAGGAATATAGGAAGTGACCACTTCTTTGACTTGGTAAGACACTAGAGGACGAAGTTTTACATTTCTCTGTAACAAAATCATTTTGCTTATTCATTTTGAAATCATGGTTTTTAAACAGAAATATACTTTGAAAAATGCTTCAGGCAAATAAGACTAACCAAATTAACAATGACTTCAATTCCTGACTCACTGAAAGGCATGGCACCAAGAAATGTGTAAATAGTTGATATACCCTTCTCATTCAGAAAAAGTATTGATGTTTAAAGTCTTCATGCTAAAAAAAATTCAATAATTTCTTATTTAGGTGCCTTTGTGGCGAAGATTGCCCGGCCAAAAAATCGAGCTTTCTCAATTCGCTTTACTGACACGGCAGTAGTAGCTCACACAGATGGCAAACCTAATCTTATCTTCCAAGTGGCCAACACCCGACCTAGCCCTCTAACCAGTGTCCGGGTCTCAGCTGTACTCTATCAGGAAAGAGAAAATGGCAAACTCTACCAGACCAGTGTAGATTTCCACCTTGATGGCATCAGTTCAGAGGAATGTCCATTCTTTATCTTTCCACTAACCTACTATCACTCCATTACACCATCAAGTCCTCTGGCTACTCTGCTCCAGCATGAAAATCCTTCCCACTTTGAATTAGTTGTATTCCTTTCAGCAATGCAGGAGGGTACTGGAGAAATATGCCAAAGGAGGACATCCTACCTACCCTCTGAGATCATGTTACATCACTGTTTTGCATCTCTGTTGACCCGAGGTTCCAAAGGTGAATATCAAATCAAGATGGAGAATTTTGACAAGACTGTCCCTGAATTTCCAACTCCTCTGGTTTCTAAAAGCCCAAACAGGACTGACCTGGATATCCGCATCAATGGACAAAGCATTGACAATTTTCAGATCTCTGAGACAGGACTGACAGAATAAGACTTATCCATTTTTTAATGTATTAAATACACCCAGCCAGTTATGCAGCTACTTTTTCTTCACTGTATCTTATGTTTTCTTTTTTCAATGCTAATTACAGCTCTCTGATTACATCATGGTAATCATGCCTATGCCCACATAAAAATGGCTGAGCTAACAATACACATTCTGGAAATATAACACTGTATTACAAAGTTTGTTACCTGCTGAAATCAATGTAACTCGACAGACACTTATACAGAAATGTTGCTGGTGAATTTATAAGAATGTGGTATGATACTAGTAATGAAGGTAAAATGGACAGTGAAGTTTAACACAACTGAACTCCAAGAAAATCAACCATTAATCTCTCATTTTCATCTGCAAATTGAAGCAACAGTTTAGTTTCAAACCTAGCTCCCTGGGTGGAATGATGACTTCACTATACTTAGTGAATATCCTTTAAAAGCTGGGATTTTTTCAAGACAACAAAGATCATTCATTTGGTTCTTTATACTATGAAACTTGAGTAAGTATTACCTCCTTAATTTTTAACAACTAAGAACAAAAATTAACGAGAAAAGCAACAAAGTAAAGATTTATATATAAACCTAAAAGCATTTCAACATGACACCCAAACACATACATATGTTCATATATTTGTGGCAAAAGGTGATCAGATTAGCTCCAGCCCAAATGGAATCTGCAGGGTGGTATTTTGCATTGCAAGGAGATGCAAAATTTTATTTACTTTAAAATTGTCCTCATAATAATCAAACAGTGATTCATCTAAATGACTTCTAGCAACCTAAGTAAAAACATTCCCCTCCTATGTATGATTGATTTGATCATATAAAACACCATGAAGGCTCTAATTCATAAATACAAAAATATATTTAAGTCTTTATAGATATAAAGCTTTACTTAGATATAACTTTAGTGAGTAGGGAAAAAAAATCTACAGTAGATAAAGCAAAAGATAATTACGCAACAAAGCATTTTCAAACCCAAATTCCTGTTTCCAACTTCAAATAGTTTTTTCTATAAACACAAAATGAGTGTTTACTCACCAGTAGGAGGTTGGACTAGATGAACTCTATTATTTCTTTCTAAATCTAATAATCCATAAAAATTATGATTCCTGTTTCATTTTTTATTTTATCTATGCTAAAACGAGCCCTTTCCCTTATGTCCAGTTTAAAATGATCATTTGCATGATTTTCATTTCAATAAAAAAAACAGAAACTGTCCTTAAACAAAACAAAAACCAAAAGTCACCCTATCAGGTTTCAAACAGATTTGTGGCTGTTCTTTTCTGAAATTTCCCTTATTCAGGTTTCTGTGGGAAAAATGAAAGATTAACCTTCCCCACTGGTGATGACCTAGGCAGGAATCATCTCTTGAAATAAATACTAGCTGAGTAAAGGCAAGCAGGTGTGAAGAGCAGGGCTCAGCAGCAAGTCACATTTTTCTACTATTTGACCGAAAGGAAAAGAAAATAAAGAAGAACTCTGGAGTGGTCTAAGACTGATAATAGCAGAAGAATATCAAGAACACAGAAAATTACTGTGAGTTTTTGCTGTTTGAAAATCTTAGACATTCATTCTTAAGTAGAAATCAGACCAACAGATTTTCCCAACCCAAGACTACTGTAACACATAAAGACAGCAAGAATTCTTATTTCTATAATAAATTAACAAGATTCACCTAATCTGTAAAAATAAAGTAGTATTGAAGACTTACATGGTATGTTTTTTCCTAAAGGGACTACATCACTTACACAGATCACACTCTCGCTAGTTAAGTGAAGCTGCCCAGGGTGACATAAGTGAATGAGTAAAACCTGGGATCTAAGGTTCCATTCAAGTCAAATGAGTTTCGTATTATACTTAGTGTTTACACATAAATTTGGCATTTGAAAGCTAAATATGACTTCCCCTACACATGCCAAAAAAAACTATTGGTACACTACTGTTATTTAATAAACATTTTATAAATCTATAAGAAACATGATCCAAAACTTTTTTGCAGGAGATAGAAAGCTACTGGGAGGACTGTTCGTTGTTTCTTTCACTTATTTCAAATCATAGTTTCTAGGTTAAGGATTAGGTTTTCTATAGAAAGACCATTATCCTCTGAGGAAAATGAAGTAAAAGGAAAAAGGTGGGAAATTACTGGGAGGTAGGAATGGCTGCTCTGTCTTCCTGGATGTGCAGCTCACTAACCTGGATCATCTGGGAGCTTGGTCATGGAGTCTTGCATACATGATCAGGAAGACTACTTTGGAACTAACGTTAAACGTTCCTTTGGAAACTGATAAAGATAGCATGACAGTTCCAACAAACTGGAGACATGTAGTTACCAAAAATCTTAGGGGCCTAGTTTTATGTATGTACAAGCCCATACTACCAAGTACCAGAAGAGTCTATAACCAAAAACTGCTATGTCTATTAACAAGTATTTCATACCAAAATACACTAATTCGTATTGCACTGGGCTGAGTGTACTGGTATCATCTGGATTATTTTTTAATAATCCTTTCATTTCACCCTTACATTATTATACCACAAGATGAGCACCAGAACTGATCTCCCCCCGTGCACAATCAATTCCTACTGAATAGGAATTCTAACTCTAGTATCAAAGACCTTTTTCCACCTTCACATTCTCCTACAGTTGTTCACAGGGATTATGTAAGCTTCTTACCCAGATGTCTGTAATTCTACCCATTTCTCTTTTCATAAGAAGCAAATACATGGTAAGCATCATTCCTAATTTTAAAAAGAACAGATCATCCTGGAACCTTCAATACTCGAACTGTCTTTTTTTTTTTTTTGAGACGGAGTCTCGCTCTGTCGCCCAGGCTGGAGTGCAGTGGCCGGATCTCAGCTCACTGCAAGCTCCGCCTCCCGGGTTTACGCCATTCTCCTGCCTCAGCCTCCCAAGTAGCTGGGACTACAGGCGCCCGCCACCTCGCTCAGCTAGTTTTTTGTATTTTTTTAGTAGAGACGGGGTTTCACCGTGTTAGCCAGGATGGTCTCGATCTCCTGACCTCGTGATCCGTCCGTCTTGGCCTCCCAAAGTGCTGGGATTAACTGTCTTAATGTGATGTCGTCGGACATCTCACAATATACTCATATTGATCTCACACTGATCAACATATCAGTGTGTCTGAACAAACTAGTTTAGTATTGCTACTCTTGGAGAGTGTAAGATATAATTATGAACAATGTTTTATAAAGATCTACATTATCGTCAACAAAAGTGGGTTACTTCCAAAAACTAAAAGCTCAGAATTTTTAGCACAGTTAACCTGAAGTGAGCATCTTTTCAAAAAGCATTCAAAGTCACTATGACATATTAGAATATATATGCATGTGGAAATTACCATATTTTAGTATACTAGCAGTTATAATACATAACAGTAGATACTAACTAGAAGTTAGTATCCTTAATGTTCTGAGATACTTTATGTCAGTTTAGTTTTATGGAACTTGCCTTTTCAAATATATACCAATGGGATGTAAAGAAAAGAACCTTTACCTTTAATAGAGGGTGGCTAAGAAAGTTACCCTCATTGGATTAATGTAGTTAAAATATGAAAACCACAAATAACGATGACTAAACTTGAACATTCCAAACCACTAAAGTGTGAATATGTGTGAATAGTTAAAATCAGGCTATTCTTATTCTAGCAACTCTCTACTTTCCCAAGGCAACCCAGGCCATTTTCAGACAACTCTAATTATTAGATCTTTTAAGACTGTGTCCAATACCTGCCTCCTTGAACCTTCCAACAGTCAGCCTCTTTCTGCCCTTTAGACTCTTACAGATCAAGTCTAAGTCCTCACTCACATGATCATGATTGGTAAGCAGGTATTGATAGACAGTGACCCTATAAGCCCTCCTCCCCACTCTGCCCTGTCCACAATGTTGTCTCCTATCTAAACAGCTCCATTTTCTTCACACAGCTCCCATCACAAGGCTTCAAATGCCCCAGCCATCCTACTCCAATGTGTGGACCCTTTCAAGGTGTGGTCCCAGAAGTGAACACAATGCTTAGGCTTGCCTTGACAACATAAAAGACAATGGGCCTATCATCTGACTCACTGAGGACACTTTAGGAAATACTGCCCATGGCTGAGAGGACATCAGCACACCGCTGATGAACATGAAGCGCAGAGTCACTGAGACGGTTGTAATCTTTCCACAGGAGGCTGCTTTTACATGCAGCCACTCCTTAAATTCTGTAATTTCCTTATGTAAGACTTTTCATTTCTGCTGTTAAAACTCCCCATTTGATTACATTTGGTCTCTTGATTCACCTCGATTCTGATCCCATGTCCTTACTGTTCCACTCCATAGCTATCCCTTACAATATTGAATGATTAGAAAATCTGATCAGCACACCACAATATCCTCTAAAGAAATATTTTACACCCAGCACATAAGTGGGAATTCAGTATTTGTTGAATGAATGAGTTCATATGCTCTTATTTACAGTAATCCCGCCTTATCCACAGTTTTGCTTTACAGTTTCAGTTAACTACGGTCAATCGCGATCCAAAAATATTACAGTACTTTGAGAAAGAGATAGAGACTACATTCACAAAACTTTTTTTTTTTTTTTTTTGGAGACAGAGTCTTGCTTTGTCAGCCATGCTGGAGTGCAGTGGCACAATCTCAGCTCACTGCAGCCTCCACCTCCCGGGTTCAAGCGACTCCCCTGCCTCAGCCTCCCTCAGTAGCTGGGATTACAGGTGCTCACCACCACGCCTGGCTAATTTTTTTTGTATTTTTAGTAGAGTCAGGGTTTCACCATGTTGGCCAACCTGGTCTCAAACTCCTGATCTCAAGTGATCCGCCCACCTCAGCCTCCCAAAGTTCTGGGACTACAGGTGTGAGCCACTGTGCCTGGCCTCACATAACTTTTATTACAGTATATTATAATTGTTCTATTTTATTAGTTATTACTGTTAATCTCTTACTGTGCCTAATTAATAAATTAAACTTTATCATAGGTATATATGTATAGAAAAACAGTATTTATGGGATTCAGTACTATCTGTGGTTTCAGGTATCCACTGGGGGTCTTGAAATGTATCTCCCACAAATAAAGTGGGAGAACTACTATAATCCTAAAAATTCTGTAAGGCATTATCACTCATTTTATTACAAGACTAATGAGATCTGAGAGTTTAGAATAACCATGATCTTCTGATTCCAAATCCTGTACTCTTTAAACTACTGCCCATCCCCTCTACATATTCATGGCAAAAGTACTGAATCAGACAAGGATGGGAGCACAGGTCTTGACAAGCACCCCATGATTACGTTAACCCAATAGTCTACAAAATGGTTAAAGCTAACAATAAACTATCCACCTAGTCTGTTCCAAATTTCTTCATGCTATACACCTTTAATTTTTTTTTTTTTTTTGGACAGGATTTCACTCTGCCACCTGGCCTATAGAGTGCAATGGTGTGATCACGGCTCATTGCAGCCTCAACCTCTTGGACTCAAGCTATCCTCTCATCCCATGACGGCCTCCCAAGCAGCTGGGACTACAGGCACACACCACCATGCATGTCTAATTTTTGTACTTTTTTGTAGAGACAGGGTTTCACCATGTAGCCCAGGCTGTCCAGCCGTGGCCTCCCAAAGCACTGGGATTAAGGCATGAGCTACCACACTGGGCCTTAATGGTTTTCATTAATGTAAATACAACTATGTATTCCCAATGCCACATTCATAAATGAGAAATTTTAGTTACTGATATCTTTAAGTTTTTAACAGAAACAGTGATACAAAGCTGTTATAATTACTTAGTTTTTAAAACAATCTGCAAATCAGTCTGTGAATGGTATTTACATATTTAACATACGTTTACAAGAAATATTTACCACTGCCCGGGCACGGTGGCTCATGCCTGTAATCCCAGCATTTTGGGAGGATGAGGCGGGTGGATCGTGAGGTCAGGAGTTCAAGACCAGCCTGGCCAACATAGTGAAACCCCATCTCTACCAAAAATACAAAAATTAGCCAGGTGTGGTGGCACGCACCTGTAGTCCCAACTACTCGGGAGGCTGAGGCAGGAGAACCACTTGAACCCGGGAGGCAGAGGCTGCAGTGAGCCAAGATCACACCATTGCACTCCAACCTGGGCGACAGAGTCTCCAGCCTTTGAGACTCTGCTCCAAAAACAAAACAAAACAAAACAAAAAAACCACAAACAAGAAATGATTACCATTATCAGTTATAATCATGCTCTGGAGAACTTTTTTAGCACTTGCAGGATTTGGAACTTGTAATGATAATTTTCATAGTACCAATTCATGGTACTACGAATTGGCATTATTTTCTCTCAGATGTTAACACCTACTGGTAGTTTGTAAGGTAGTACCTTTAATCAGTTAGGTAGCTCATCTTAACAGTATAAATTCTTTAAATATAAATTACATATTTAAATACAAATTTAAATATAAATTATGATTAATTCATCATAAACAATGAAATCCTGTTCCTTTATTATGTTCCTCTTCAGTGGCTACCTTAACTGTAATTTATCTGAGTTAATTTTTTTTGTTCTCATCACAAAACAAGAAAAAAAAAAAAAAGGACTATACAGCAAAAAGTCCAGATGAATAAATTAGTAAATTAAGAACGTTCATAGTTTTGGCCTTTGTTCTCTGATACAAAAGCAAAGATTTTAGCATTTGCCCATTTCTTCTCATCTGTGAGA